TTTGAGGTAAAACAATAATAAAGAGGGACCAAATAGTTGGTTTTTTAAAGGGGTACTAAAAAGTTAGGAAAATCATAATAAGGGGCTAAAACTGCATTTAAGCCTAGATTTTTTTCATTCAAAAGTTTAAAAATGTTTTTATGTCCAGACTGAAAAAAATGAAAATCTCCGAAAGGGTTAATTCTCATAATGCTAAAATGAGACTCTGGGATTTATGGGCTCTAAACTGTGAGGCTTCTGGAGTTTGAAGGTCTCATACTTCAGAAGCGTCCTTAGTCAGAAGCTTTCTATTAAGCTTTATCTTTTGGACTTTAAAGAGTTTACTGCATTATTTGTTGTCAAGCAAGCGAAAGGTTTGTGGTTCAAAATGAGACATTTCTCTTATTCTAAAACACGCTAAATGCTTGAGTAACACATTGGGAGAAGTATTTTTTATTGGGATTAGGTAAAATCTCTCATGTCTCACCCTTGTCAGATATTTGCACTATTTAATATTTATTTTCATCATTTCATATTTAAACTCACTTCACTCCCCTTTCACATACTTCGCTCTCCGTCCCACACTTTTTATTTTTCAAACCCCTAAAAAGTTTTATCTGCAACCAAAACCCTTGCTCGTGTTCGTCGTGGCTGATCAATAACAACAAGCGTCATCTGCTCAATAAAAAACTTCATCTTTTTTCACAATAACAACAAACTCAGGAACATCAAAAAGAAGGTATTCAAGAACTCCAGTTGTCCACTCCAGTTAATGAATTGTATGTTACCAGTGATTTGATCGTGGACTTTGAGAATATTAAAGCAAATGGTTTTGATCATAATGGTGAATTTAAGACTCAAGGATAGGAAGATTATTTAAACCCTCTCAAAGGACTCGTTTATGCTAGATTGGTTAAGAAATTTTAGGTGTTTTCTACTGAATCAAAGATGCAAGTCTCGTCATTTATTTTGGGGTACCATGTACACATTACTGAATAATTAATTTCAAAGCTTCTCAATCACAAATGAACCGGTAAGAGATGCTTTGATATGCTTGTTATAAAGGCAAATTTGGATAAAATTGTTGTTGTGATATTTCAAGATGGAAAGGACTCAAGGAATGCGAAGGATCTACACAAAAATCTTAGGGTGTGGTTTAAGATTCTTCTAGGTTGTGTGCACCATAAACCCTCAACTAATTCTTCTGACTACATCAACAATGATTAGAAGTATATGTTGTTCTTCATTGCTTCTAGTATCAAGATGAATATGTGCTATACATTTTTCAAATATTTAAGAGAGCTAGTCAAGGAAACCAAAAATAGTAGTACAAAGCTCATAAAATGGATTCATATGGGAAGACTCATTTATGATATTTTGGTAGAAAGCAAGCTTGTTAAGACTCTGCAGAATCTGAACATAATTAAGGAATAAGTCATAAGTGTTGGGAAAGTGTTCAATGGAAGAAATTTGAGGAATGTGTCTCTGATTTATGAAGTTATGGATCCTAAAGAGGTTATGGATAGAAATTACATATCTTCTAGAAGGATAGTTCTTGATGACTATCATGTGTTTACCAAGAAGGATTCTTCTGAAAGCGCTCAAGCTTATGTTGATGAATGCATAGCTTCATGTCTTATGTAACACCATATTCCCCCATCGGTAATTTAACCAAAAATCAGAGTAAATTAATTCATAAAATAAAACATCAAGAATAGGATGCTACATCTTCATACATCATACATGATCATGTAAAAAGATACGCAACACATAGTCACTTATTCATCATGTCTGAACTTTGTTTCGTTTATTCGAAGTGCATAACATCAATAGAAATTATTCTCAACATGAGTGATAATTATCATAATTCAAAATTCAACATAAAACATCAATTAAATCCAACAAATAGAGTTCTACAATAGTTTACTCCCAACATAAACAAAACAAGCATAAAATCCTCAAGTGTTACGTATCAGAGCTGACACCGACTCAATCTATGCAAAGTGAGGCAACTCCTCAACTAACCTCGACCTTGAGCTACTTCAGATCATCTGCATGAAACATTCAAATAGAAGGAGTGAGATATCATGATAATATAAAAGAAAGTATAATAATGAGTATATAGCAATTCAAGTACACATAATCATACTCCTTTACTTCACACATGTACTTCATTCATCGTACCAATAGGTACATCAACATATAATCAATTATACACACAACACACAATACTCATCATGATATAACTCATACTTTTTCAGCATCAAACATCAAGTTATCAATAATAATGTAATGCAATGAGACCGACACTGACACAATGCATGTGGTACCAACAGGGCATAAGCCCTCGTCTTTACACTAATATATGCCATCTCTCACCAATATAGGCCATCTCTCACCAATACATGCCATCTCTCACCAATACAGGCCATCTTACAGAGCATAAGCCCTTATCATGAATGTACGTGACACCGACACATAACAACATAAAATGCATTGATATTACTACTCACCAATGACACTCCAATACAAGCCATCTTTGATATTATCATCATCATCGTCATCATCATCATCATCATCATGCAGTACATCATGCAAAACGATTGAGTCATTTATACAACATCATCGTACTCAATCGCAACATTCATCATAACACATTACTCGAAGATACACACAGATAGATATCGATTTTGGTAAAATAATTATCTATTATTTTCCAATTTATTTTATAACATAGAAAATGATTTTAGCTTTTCATTGATCCAAACGGCACGTCAAATGGATACCCGAGTCAAAAATTATGAATTTTTATAATTTTTGAAAAAAAATTGTCAGCTTCAATGGTAACCGGTTACTACCAGGAGGGTAACTGATTACACCCCTAAACCCAAAATATTGTACTTCTGTCCAGTTGGATAACCGATTACCTCCCAGTCAGTAACCAGTTACACCTTCACGTTTTTGCCTGTTTTGCCAAAAATTGCACAGAGTGATTGATTACTACTAAGACAATAACCAATTACACCTGATGCAGAACCAAAAATCTGCAACTTTTCAAAATACGAATATCATTCTTTCAAAGCTCAAACTTCTAATTTTTCAATCAAAACAGTGTCTTTTAATACTACTAATTATTCACAAACATTGTCCATCAATCCAACTCAATTTACATCATAAATTTCACCAATTACACACAAAAATGCATCAAAAGAATTCATCAATGGTAAAACCCCATAAAGAAAAATGGTGAGAAATCAATAACACACAATCATGGAACCTAATAACTACCATTCCCCATTAGTATTCAACCTGTTATAGATTTAGAACCCCACCCTTACCTTAGATTTGCCGGTTCTTGACTCTTACAGTGAAACTTCTCGCCCCAACCTCTTTCTCTTCTTCTCTCTTCTACGAACCTTCTCTATTTTCTACGTTGTGTTTTTCTTCTCTCTATTCTCAACTCTATTTTATTCCAACACTGGCCTTAGGACCCCTAAATCATAATTCCAACCTTGCTTTTCCCCAACTAAATAATTATTCTAGTATTCACAAAATAATAATAATTTTATTATTTTACTTAATAATTTATTCAATTATTATACTATAGTATTAAATCTAATATTTTAATCCATGTAATGCTAATAAACTACTTATCTCTCTACACCTCATGTTTCTACACTTTTGGTCATACACCCTTATTATCTTAACTCCAATAATTTCCAAGGCATGTAATTCCCAACAAATGCATCACAATACAACACAAGATTCACCAAGGGCATAAATAAATCACATCACCTAATTAATTTAAATAAAATAATTTAACGAAATCGGGTTTTACATCTTACATTAGTTGCTATTTTTCAAGACAATATATCGTATGTTTCTGGTGAGTGTCTTGTCAGAAAGAAGAGGAAAGCTTCTAAGAAGTTTGGTGAAGGACCTTCTGCAGTTGCTAAGTCTCCAGTTAAGAAAGCTAAGACTTCTGTTTCTACGAGAAGACCTATGGAAACTATTTCTGAAACTGAAGCTAAAGGCTCTGAGAGCTCCAAGATTGTTGAAGTTCATTCTTCTGTGAATCCAAATCCAAGTAGGTTTATTTCTGCTGAGACTTCTTTACCTTTAATTCAAAATGGTAATAATAATCCATATTCATTTACTCTCTCTCAACCTATACCTTAACCACCTCCTCAAACTACATATGTAGTTCCCCCCACTCTCCAACATACACAAACTATCCCTTCTAAAACCACTCCAACAGAAATCACTCCTCAAACTTCATCTCAAATCCCTCCTTTTTACATACCGCTCAGAACTATTTATACTCTCTCACCAAAACAATCCTCTGAAAACATTCCACCTGAACTATCCAACTTAGAACCTTCTGAAAATCAACTACCTGCTTCTAAAACTCAACCATATTTTTTTGAACCAAATCCATCAGAACCTGAACCATTAAATTCCTAACCTTCCACAACCACTACATCTGAACCTTTTTCTAGTTTTAACTGAACCATCTCAACCAAATATTCTTGAACCAATACTATCTCAAATTCTACAAGTACAACTAGAAGACCCTCATTCACCTCAAAACCAAACCAAACCATCCCCCTTTTAGAGATTCTTCAGTGGAAGTTGTCACTGCCTCATCTGATTCTGATGGTGAGACTCTGGAAAAAGCTAAGGTGAACCAACCTAACCTTTTTAACCTTAACTTCCTTAGAACCAATATACTTCCAACTCCCAAACCATTTGTGGATGAATTATTGTTAAAGTTTGAAAATGAAGCCAAAGAGTGTCTACACTCTTTGATGCAAGTTGGCACATACTGTGTAAATCCTACTAAGAGTGATGCTCAGTAAAGTAGCTTCAGAAGGTGGATTAAATCTCTCTCTTGGGAGTTAAATGAAATGTGTTTCAAGGATGCTCAGAAGAACTTCCATGAAAGACTGAGTTATGTCATAGAACCTGTTCAAATGATATTCCAATAGATTTTACTTCCCACTCTTGAATTAGATTTGACTATGGATGAAAATGCTCAAGCTGACCCTAATCTAGCAATTCAAACTGGAGATACTTCTGCGCAACAGATAATTTCTTCAACTCCTGTTGAAGCTGCTTCTGGATCTGCTACTGATCTTGTGGCTACTTTTGGGATTGAGAAGTTGTCTACTTCTGCTTCTGAAGATGTGATCATGAAAACTCTAGATGAAATCAAGAAGGAAAATGATATGGTGAGAACTCGTTTGGACAAGCAAGATGAGATGTTTAAAGCTTGAGCTGAGACCAACTCCAAGTTGGAATTTCTGATGTCTGTCATTCTGTCAAGAATACCATCCCCACCCTGATCCATTTATTTTACCTTTTGAATTGACTAGTTTATGTTTCTAGTTTTCTGGTTGACTCTTTTATCTGTATCTTTATCCTTTAAAAATCAATGAAGTACTTATTTTGGTTATCCTCTTAAAGTTTTTTTTTATTAATGACAAAAGGGGAGAAATGAGATGATTTTGATATACATGTTTTCCATAACTAATCCCATACATGTTTTTGATATATTAAGCCTCTAACAATATTTGATTGATCATGAACTCTAAAAAAGTTCACTGGATATTTCTAATCAGGAAATTTAGATGATTAGTAAACAGGGATCATAAACTCAAAAGATATATCACGTTCTGATAACCATAAGTTTTTAACCAGCCCTTTCTTAAAAGGAAATCCAACTAGGCTCTCATACTTCATCAAGTTCTGATAGCAAGCCAAATTCTGAGACAACGAACCAGGAATTTCTAATCAGACTCTGATAATGTCTTTAATTAGGAAAGTATTCCATTTGTGCTGATTAAAGTGTTATATATCAAAATTATTTTATAAGTCTTGAACTCAAGGGGAGCCTCTGAACAAGCTTAGGTAATTTCTGATAGTATAAAACTCAGGGGGAGCTTTCTAGCTGACTCTGATATGCTTTATGTGATTAAACCAAGTAAAAATTGTTCATTAAAATACATGGTTTTGTCATCATCAAAATGGAGGAGATTATAAGAACAAGATTTGGTTCTGCATCTAGCCTTTAGTTTTTATGATAATAATACATAGTTTCTTACAAAACAATTTTGTACCTAATGGTTTTTGTCTAGTGCGTAAATGAATGCTAACATGTTCTGACTCTGAAGAAGTGACGTGCGACGTCATCAGTTTTTGAACTCAACACACTATGACTCTGAGAAGATACAAAATATGCTTTACAAGGATAAATCAATTTATAGAATGCTCTTTGACAATGCTTCTGAAAGAATGCTCATCAAATGGCTTCTGACTCTGGCTCTGATAAAGGAGCTTCTGAAGTTTTGCAAGCTCTGAGATTCAGTGCTCTACAAGCTCTGAAGATTTTGAAGACCAAGTTCTAAAGACTTCTGAAGACAAGATTCTGAAGACAAAGTTTTGAAGACTCTCTTACAGTTTTTGATCCTTCTAAGCATGATTCATCAACACATATTTTGAAGCCTCTGAAGATTGGAAGATAAGATCAAAAGGTTTTATGTGAGAAAATAATACACAATATAAGATCAAATATTACTTTCACTATACTGATTTTGTGGAGAAAATATTGTACTTTTATACCAATTTGTCTGCCACTCACGTTGACCGTTATGCAAGGTCACAACTACACAAGTGTGGAATTCCATCTTCACCCTTCAACGAACCTTTCTTTGCATATATAAAGAAGACTTCAAGAATGGAACATTGACAATTATTACAACAAGTTTTATAACATTTTCTCAAGATCTTAAACGTGAATATTACAACTCTGAGATAAGAAAAAGCATCAAGCAAGTAACTTTTGTTCATAAACTTGCTCTCAAACATTTTTTAGTTAATCTTTGTATTTCATTTTGTGTGATCTGCTTTATAGAAGCATCTTTGTAAACACACCATTGTATCTCAACTTTTGAGTTGTTATTCCTTGAGACTAGGGTAAAATCAAAATTTCTCAAGAAGACATTAATAACAAGTCTTTATGGTTGTAATCAGTTTGATTATAGTGGATTAAGTTCTTGTGAGAAGGCAAAATCACCATGACGGGTGGACTGAGGGTAGCTTCGTTAACAGCGAACCAAGATAAAAATATTATATTCATTATTTTTATTCTAAGTTTTTTTTATTGCATTGAGTGGCGAAAAGTTACTTTCTAAACATAATTCAAATCTCTCTTTTTTGTGTTTCCTTTGCTTTATCTTGTCTGTCTAATCATTCAATTAAGCATATGGCTTTTAAATTAGAAGCATTGAACAAAAATGGATTATGTGGTATTATTGATCTGCCTCCTCATGTCAAATCTATTGATAGTAAATGAGTTTATAAGGTCAAATATAGGGCTAATTGCACTTAGAGAGATATAAAAATGGGTTGGTAGCAAAAACATAGAACCAACTTTAAGTATTAGATTTCTTTGACACGTTCACACCTACGGAAAAACTCACAACTATTAGAACCCTTCTTGCAACTCTATTAGAACCCTTCTTGCAACTTTTGGTTGTTGCACCAATTAGATGTCACTAACAACTTCTTGCATGGAGAGTTACAAAAAGATGTGCATATTGACATTTCATAAGGGGTTCTATATGCCATGTCCAGGGACGGACCTACCTTTGAGACTATGTAGACCTATACCCCCACTATAATTGAAATGCACATATCTAATATACTATATAAAGTACCATGCATATTATATTAAATAGTTATTTTATTTAGTTTCTGTTTTGAATTCTACTGCAACAATTCATTTCACAATTATAAAGCCACTAACTGACTAAATGTTTTTATGTTACTTTTATTACAGTGTATTTGTAGAGTATTAATAAATGAATGACATATGAACTATTAATAGATTTGTTATTAATAGACTTGTTGAGATTAAAAAAATGATGTATACGTTCAATTAGCAAATAAAAATTAATATTTTAAAAATATTAAATATTATAAAAAAATAATTATGATATTTATTTATAAATGATATATTATATTTTTAGTGTTACAAATATATAAATTTTGTCCCCACTATCAAATATTCCTGAGTCCGTCCCAGGCCATGTTCAACCAAGTTTGTAAACTATTGAAAAACTTATATGTATTAAAGCAAGATAGTAGAAAATAGTATGAGAAATTGACTTCATAATTTGTCCAACAAGGTTACAATCAATCTACCTCAAATTTCTCTCTTTTCACCCTCAAAACCAATTTATACACTCATAGTTTTTCTAGTATATGTTCAGGACATTATACTAGCTGACAATTCTTTTATCTCAGTTTGATAAAATCAAAGTCATGATTGACACAAATTTCAACATCAAAAGACTTGGAATTTCTCAAGTACTTCTTTTAATTACAGGTAGCACATTCAAAAGAATGTATCTATATATCTCAAAGAAAATATTTCGCGGATCTTTTACATGAATCTAGTCTCCTCGACTCCAAACCAGCTCCAACACCTCTTAATCCTTATATTAAAGTTCATTAATAACTTACACTCACATAGCCATAGGTGTAATATTTTCCGCTGGATGAGTAACTAACAAACTACTAGTACTATTTTTAACCTTAAGAACCACAAATAGCAGGCCCACTCTTCTCCCCTCCTGTTTGCTGTTCTGCTGCTGTTTTCAATCGTGTTCCTATCTCTGTTATGTCAGTCGACTCAACCGGAGATGCACGATCCATACTTACGTGTCGGGTACCACATGAACCACATCTTCATTCAGTGTTAAACTAATCATAATCACCATTTTATTATATTTATTTCAACCAACGTTTACAGTTTACACTAACACTAGTGTTTAACGTTTTCATCCACTAAAACAAAAATTCTCACCTCAACGTGATACTATTATTATTTCTATTTAAGGAAAAAATTTATGTGTTCTTAGACGTGGTTTATATATTTTTTTTAATGAAAATTATATATTTATTTCCTAAAAAATATTTAAATATATTTATCATATTTTTATTGGAAAAAAATATATGAACCATAACTATAGAATTGTATTTAATTATTCTTTTTATTTTAATATACATTGATTATAAATATTTTTATTAATACCATCTAAATTACTTTTGTACGTAGTTTTAATTTTTATAAAATTATTTTTATATGTAATTTTAGGAAATTTTTTTAGCAATAATTAGATTTTGAAAAAAAAATACACAAATAACCATGTTTCGGAGAAAATTACGCAAATAATCATGTTTCAGAAAATCACACAAATGAGAGCCAACCCAGTTGGCGCATGCACCTAGCTTTTTGTCCTAGGCGCCATCTCACTTGGCGCATGCTCTTTGTTTTACCCAAGTGAGATGGCGCGTGCACTCTAAAAGTGAGAGGATGCACCATCTCAATTGGCGCCTAGGTGCAATTCTGTTTTCTATAAGTAAATCACCCGTTTCTCCGTCATTCTTCACACTTTCTCGCACTGTCTTATTATTTTTTCTCTATTATTTGCGTCATGACATCTCCCATGATTTTCACCAGAGATGAATACGTTATTTTCTCGACCGCCAAACCTCCGATGAAAAATGAAATTTTGACACATTTACTCCATGGAGCGTCTGAAGAGCGAGTTGGTGTGATGGCTAGAGGGAGACATCGAGGATGAGGAACAAATTAAAAGGATCCAGAGAAGAAGAACAACCACCTCACTTGCAACTGGAAGACCTAATTTTTTGATTGGAGGAAGTCAAAACAGACGGAGACGTAATGGTGATGATGTATGACTCAGATGAAATTGTTTTGACGGTTGTAATTTCTTAGAAGTTTTATCGTGTTTTTATTTGTTGTTTGCGTATGGTTTGTTGTAACATACGCTCTTAATGAAAAACAGTAATGTTTAGAATTTAAAAAAATAAAGATGGTTTGCATACAATTTTTATGTTGTTGAGCTTGTAGCCCGAGTAGGACAATTTTTTTGATTGTGTCTGACTTGACGACATAAACCGCACTTTCTTTCTAGCTTGTCAAGGGAGTCCATTTCAGTTGTGATACACTTGCTTTTGGGATGACCCTTTTTATTCCTTCACATTTGATCATTGTGTCATACTATTTCCCCGTCGTATGCAGGCCAATAATCAGGTTTCGCTATCAATGGGAAGCCGTTGTTGTATATGTTGAGCAATGTTTCAGACTTGTAAATGGGAGATAGAAGTTGTAATGCGTCTTGATGAGTATATGCACATGCCGCAATGACATGAGAGCAAGGCATACGAAATGCTTAAAATTTGCCAC